AACGGAACAACGGCGACAAACCTTAATTATAACAAAGTATGGCTTAACGGAACAATGATGACACACCTTCAGCATCACAAAGTATGGTTTAACGGAACAATGACGACAAACCTTAATTATAACAAAGTATGGCTTAACGGAACAATGATGACAAACCTTCATTATAACAAAGTATGGCTTAACGGAACAATGATGACAAACCTTCATTATAACAAAGTATGGCTTAACGGAACATTGATGACACACCTTCAGCGTCACAAAGTATGGTTTAACAGAACAATGACGACAAACCTTAATTATAACAAAGTATGGCTTAACGGAACAATGACGACAAACCTTCATTATAACAAAGTATGGTTTAACGGAACAATGACGACACACTTCAACATATAAGCCTGTAAAGAACTGTATGGTATCGCTGCTGGTGTACTACTATTACACTTGTGTGTCAGTTAGAGGAGACGTTCATCGTTCAGTGAAGATTTCGTGGTACAAGGAAGTCATCCTGAGCGAGAACCGACGATAAGAATCGACATTGATATACTGGTAAAGTGAACAATAGTTCGCTGTTCGATTACCAATCGGTACCGATTTCATTTACGATACTGGCGGGCAGATCTACAGAATGACAGCTTTTAAATACCAATTATTCCATACATTGTCATACAATGAATGGAATTCTCTTTGGAAATTGTGACAATTTTTATCTTTTTTGTGTGTGCGTGTGTTTTTTAAAACAAATACTGTTAACAACGCCACCACGAAAAAAAGTTGTATTATGAATTAACTGGATGAATTAATTAAATAGGCTAACTGTTGGAAGTACTAACTTCCATCCACGCACACTAGAGTGCGCAATACCACTTAGATAAATACCATTACATCTGGTAATGAGACAGGAATTTGCATACTTCCCTGTAAAGATCACTTTGGGAAGCATTAACTGCAAGGTAAGGTGCGCTTACCTATAACAAACTCGAACTCCTGTTTCATATAGAACTGAGAGGAAGCAACATTAACACATCACCAACGTAATTAACCTGTATTTGTATATAGTCTACGTATGATGTCGTTTAATTCCTTATCTACCGTGTCTAATTCTCAACCATTGAAAGACGTTAATCATTTAAATGTCTTTCTTACAATATTAGATGTGTGATAAACTATTTGACACATCAATTATTGATGTGTAGCAAATTTAAATCGAATCATGAGTCCTTCTTGTGTAAATGGTAATCTTGGGACTCTAGAGTGAGAACCTTACGGACTCTCAAGTTAAAAACTAGGGTTGAATTTGTTACTATCTGTTTTTACTATCTAGTTTTTTGCACCATTCATACGCTATACACACAGGGGTAAGCAACAGTGCTTTTGAGAGAGGGAACTTGTATAGTAAACTTTAATTAGCAGAAGACAATACTGATTATTGTACACTTCACAAGCTCCCTCCCTCAGAAACATGCCCCTATGTATACACATCTTAAATGTAGTATAGTGTCACTGAAATGATCACACAGACAACAAATCTCCCAACAGCTTTTGCCTTCCTGATCATTATCAACTATTTGGATAATATCTCCTTTTTTATTCCATAGAAATATTGTGATCTGACATAGGATATGTATTTTCTCTGCCCCATTCAGTATAACTGAGGATGCTTATTTCCATTAATGAAGTAACAAGTTTCACATCAAGAAACGAATTTTATGTATCTTTTATGCAATAAAACTTCTAACTAATTTCAGAACCAATTAATATGCTTCAATTATAGCGCTTGATTTCCATACATATGTATATTATATATATTCATGTATATTATGTAGCCTCCACCAGAATTATCAAATCAACTGTAAATACGATTATGATGAAAATCTTTATTTGAACATTTATTAAACAAAAGATCCCAGGGATATCTTGGCATCAACCATTGTTTTGTATGTTTTTTTTTAAAGTGTAATTTTCCCCTTCTTTTCTCATCATTACTCTGTTTCTGCTCTTTATTGTAAAAAAGTTTCAGTGAGAAATTGTTATAACAACATTTAACAGTCAAATCTTAGGTGGTCAACACCAGAATCAAAATAATACTGCTAGGGACCAAGAGAACTTACACATGAATTTTTTTTTTTTAAAATCCATAAAGCACTTCTCAAGAAATAGCGATAATAAACTGTCATTGTCAAGACCTAACATCAGGCCGGTCAGCCATTTTGGTTTCTTTTATCAGTCTTAAAAACAAATGGGCACAATGTAGAAATTGGAGAAAGATCCATTCAGTCCTTCTAAAGAAACAGTGAAAATAAGAATTGTTGAAAGACAGACGACAGAAGGGAGCCAGGCAAAGGGCAATTTGAACAGCCCACCATCTGATGGTAGGATAGCAATTTGTTATACATATGTAGGATCTGAAATGAGTTTTTATGTCATATTCGATTTTATAAAACAGGTCTAAACAGATTTTGTTTTATGAGTCTACAAGAGTTGCAAGAGAGATCTTGGCGCCCACCAGTGTTTGATCTTTATATGATCTTTGAAAGTTAGATTTTTTTTCCCTTTTTAAGTCATCTGACCGAAGGGTCTGATGACCTATTGCGATCGCCTTTTGTTCGGCGTCGTCCGTCGTCTGTCGTAAACATTTTCAACTTCTTCTCAAGGTCTTCATGTCTCATTGACTTGAAACATACCTGAAAAGATCGTGACATTATCCTGACCAAAGTTTGTTAATTTCGGGTTGGTCCGAAATCCAACATGGCAGCCATGGCCGCCATCTTGAAAGCACATTTTCGACTTCTTCTCAAGTTCAAAATTTGAAATCTTGTATTTTATGTCAGATGACCGTTAAGGCCCATGGGCCTTTTGTTTCTCTTCTCTTCTCTGTTTTGCTCTTAATAATAAGACATTTGAACATTCCTTTGCAGAAATAGTAATGATAATCTTTACCTGCCTAGTCCAAAATGGCCGCCTGGAAGCCATTTTGTGTCTTCTGATCAGTCCCAAAATCAAACGAGCATAAGGAGAGACCATAAGGGAATATATGTATGAAATTTGAAATATCCATTCAGTACTTCTTAAAAAATAGCAATAACAATCTTTACTAGGCACAATCCAAGATGGCTGCCTGCCAAACTCAAACAGCCACAACTAGGGACCTAAGGAAACCTACACATAAAATTTGAAAAAGATCAATAGAGAATCTCTAAAGAAAAAGCCGACAACAAACTTTCGAAGTCAAATTCCAAGATGGCCGCTTGTGGGTCATTTTCTTTTTTTCTGATCAATACCAAAAATAAACAAGCACAACTAGGGATCAACGAAAGCATAGACATGAAATTTGAGAAAGATATATCCTGTAGTTCTCAAGAAATAGCGATAACAAACTTTTTAAAGTAAAAATTTAAGATGTCCGTCTGTTGGCCATTTGTCATTCTGATCAGACCCAAAATCAAACTGGCACAACTAGGGACCAAAGGAAACCTTCGTATGGTATTTAAGAAAGATTCATCCAGTACTTCTCAAAAATTGGCGATAACAAACTTTCAAAGTCAAAATAAAAGATGTCCGCCTTTCTGCCATTTTGTTTTTCTGATCAGTCCCAAATCAAATGGGCACTACTGGGGACAAAGGAGAATCTACATAGGAAATCTGACAGATATATTCAGTACTTTTCATAAATCTTTATTAACAAATTCAAGATGGCCACCTGTCAGCCATTTTGTTTCCCGGATCAATCTTAAAATCAAACAGGCACAACTACGAACCAAGGGGAAACTACATAAGAAATTTGAGAAAGATCCATCCAGTGCTTCTCAAGAAAGAGCAATAACAAAAATTATTTACAGTTAGACATACCATGGACATAGGGCGATTTGAATAGCCCACCATAAAAATTTGGGGAACAAAGCAAACAGTGGCAACCCTTTGGTTTAACTCATGATCACTCATGGAAAAAATGCTCCAGGGTATATCACAATTGTTACATAGTATTACTGTGGTGAAACCACTGAATAACAGTTATGTGATAAAAAGGATTATAACACTAATTAGTGCAACAACCTATTGGAATGCCCTGAGGTACTGGTGAAGGATGTTTTTGTTGCTTCCAAGACACTACATAGGTTATTAACCAGAGATCCCAAACAACTCTTGACACTCATCATTGTCTAATGTTTAAACGTTATATTTTCTTTTCTTTCCTCTTAATAATTTGCTGTGTTGACATGTGAATTAGTCATATGATAAACTCAGTAGACAAAGGAAACCTACATATAATTATTTTATCTGTTTTTTAACATACACATTCAGTATGCAACTCAGGACCAAGGGAACAATGAATTTTCAGAACAATCCATCATGTATTCCTAAAGCAAAAGCAACAGGCAACTTTAATGGCAATTGTTAAAATCCAAGATTGCCTGGCAAGTTTTTTTTTCTTAATCAAGACTTGAAATTGAATGGGTATCACTTTGTACCGAGGTCAACCTATGGCATTTGAAAAAAATCTATATGTGTTTCTCTTTAAATACCATTAACAAACTTTGCCATCCGTCAGCCATTTCATTTTTATTGTAAAATTCTAAGATGGCAGTCAATTTAATATTCTCTGATCAGTATCGCAATTCAAAAGACTTTACTATGGACCAATGGAAACCTATTTATAAAATTGGAGAAAAAATTACATGCAGAAATGAGATTCTATTTCAAAATCCAAGATGGCCGCTTCACAGCCGTATTATTTTCTTATTAGTTTCCATAATAGAGAGCACCACTCATGGCCAAGGAGAACCTACATGTGAATCAAATAAGATAAAGATCCACTAGGTACGCGAGAGATATCGATGACACTGTTTACGGAAAGACCGACCACGGATGAAAGGTACCATGAACAGCCCATCCATTGGGCTAAAAGTAAACTTGAGATCATCTTTTCTAAATCAAAAACAAAATGAAAACTAAGACAAGTTATTCCATTGATTTTTTATTTTCAATTTATTTTATATCTTTCATGATATTCACATCAAGAGATTTATATTAAACCTACTAAAATCAACAAAATGTAAAACAACATACCTTTAATTAACACATAGACAACACATTACTTACAGACACACCCATTATACACGAACCATTTTATTTAATGTCCTCTCAGTAATTTTGATTACTGTAACTGTTACAGCCTGTACAGTCTAAACCATTGTACCAATATTGATGTAAACCCTATTCAAAATATACTGGTTAGATAATGGATTAAATCTGATTTTTTAAAAAAAAATTTTGTGTTTCTGTTGTAAAGAGTTTCATATTTCCTGTATTAAATCTTTCAACATTATTAATTGACTGATTAATAAAAACTGAATATCATTAAGTCATCTGATAACCTCCATTCTTAAAGTCAAAGATTGCAGAAAATAATAATTATCAACTTTCCTTTCACATTTCTATAAGAAAAAGAACATTGATATAAACTAAGCTTTAATTCTTTCCAGACTTAACACAGAGTTACCTATTAATATGAAAATAAAAAATCTATGTTGGACCGTGACAAAATAAGACAGTATATAGACAAATACATACACAAAAATGTACCAGAACAACATTAATTAAATCATAAAAATTCACAGTCAAAAACTCCAATGTTCCCTTTCAAAACAACGATTCATTACAGAGAATCCTGATAATTGAAACCCAATGCCTATTCGTTGGTCGATTCTTAAGAAATGAAAATTTTGCTGATTATAATGATTCTGAACAAACACCATTAGTCAATTTTATATCCCTTAGACGGAACGCAAATAAACTGATTAAGAAAAATAAATGTCCTAGTTGAATGGCAGTGTTTGAGTCTGTTATATTGCACTCTTACTATTGACGTCATTCAGAGAATCCTTAAAATCATATATCTGTAGTTTCTAAAACAGGAATTTAAATACTTTAACAATATTTCTTCCAACTGATATTTCATTACGCAATACATAAAATATCAATGCAAGTATATCACAAACAATTACATATGCTGTACCGGTATTTAAAAACAAATAGGATATCGTGTTTTATCATTATGGATCACACTGCGATTTTATATAATTACAAATATCATATATTTTAACATACATACCAATCCCTACAAGCTTATAAGATTATCAACTTTACTTAATCGCAGTAAGAAATGTTTTTGTAAACAGAGAAACACAATAATTTGAGGTTTCAATAATCCAGAAAGTTTGTGTTTTGCCTGCTTATAGTGCAGAGGTGAAACTCCTATCACTGTGATAACTACCTATACCCACAAAAAAAAAAAAAAAAAAATGAAATATGACAAAAAATATTGTGTGCAGTCTATGTAATCCCTACATTCTGAACCTAAACACAAAACCATAAAAAAAAATTACTGAAGCACCATGGCTTCCACAGAACCTCTATTTTACTGCTTTCAGACTCAAAAATCCTTTCAAAGAGGGTAACATTTGTACACAGTATCTATCAATTCACACCCTCTCTTTCACCCTTCTAAAAGACAGCTCACAGTAACTTTACATACTTCAAAAATATTATCTTAAACAAATATTAAATCAATTTTGTTGATTCTAAGAAAGGACATTTTTGTGTCATATGCAGATTTTCAAATTTATTTTTCCAGACAACTTACAGTGATCAAATCAGCTGGGCATCAATATTATATTCCATACCTTATACTAAAATAATTACAAGACATTTTCCTCTCTCTGTTTTTATAGATGGTATTTCCTAAACATCTGTTACTAACCCAAATTAAAATAAATGAAATGTCCATGAACCAATTTGCTTTTATGCATCTAAAGATCTGTCCACAACTAACTTTATCAGAATAATACCAAGAAATGCCTGCTCCTATGTCATCAATTACCGTAACTGTTGTCTTACCGACAGCTGCAGATCACTTGACATAATTATTCAATAGAAAAGAAAAGAAACATCATTTCATTGCGAGATCTTACAAAATTACTTTGCACAGATTTTGTATGGATTGTTTGTTTTAAATTTCAACATACCTTTGCTAACTGTTGGAATGTCTAGGGCACTTGCATCACTGAACTTTTTTTTACATTTTTTTTACAAAAACTACCAAATGAAAATGGATGTTGGATTCCACTTTACTGTTGCTACTTTTCATAACTCTGAGCTGCAATATGGAAAAGTATCTAAATTTTATAGCTTGAATCAATATTCAAACTCTATGTGTAACACATCAGCTGCTGACTGGAACTTTGTTGAATACCAAGTCCACTTATTCGTTTCAGGTTCAACAAAGCCTCCAACTCAATCAGTCAAATTATACGCTCATTCATCATCCATATCCTACACTCTTGCATAACATTTTGATGTCTTCTTCAAATACAAATCCTTCTTCTTATTTGAATAGGAAGCTGAAACAAAAGTTAAAATTTCAATAAAGATAGAAGTAAAATAAAAAACCTTAGAAGTAAGAATTCAATACTTAATAGTCTATCTTCTTACTGGTCTAGCAAAATCTATAATTTTATAACACAATTGAACTTTGTCAACTGACATTGAAAACTTAAAAAATTCATTTGTTTTCTGTGTAGGATATAGAAGTTTGAATCACACATGATCAAATACTTTTGATCTAATTACTTCACATGCCTATATATATATCTTTGTTTGAAAATTCATTTTTTCATGTATTTGTCAGCCTACAAACAAGAGTATGACACTACAGCACAATAATGTGATTACCTGTATGGATATCCCTGGTATTTTGATCTAAATACAGACAGCAGTAAACTGAAGAAGAAAACTACACAGCCAAGTCCTACCACTGCTAAAACTGAAACGACAAATAAAAACATGTCTGAAAAAGTGCAATTCAAGTTCTGGAATTTTAATATAAACCTGTCAAATCTTACTTTATAATACCATAATATCATGGTGTTTTCTTTCAGAATCAGACAAGTAAGAGATGGCAGGAACACTTGTATGACTTGTCAAATCTTACTTTATAATACAATAATATCAAGGTGATTTTTACTTTCAGAATCAGACACATTAGAAATGACAGGGACACTTGTATGGCTAGTCAAATCTAACTTTATAACACCATAATATCAAGGTGGGTTTTTTCCAGAATCAGACACATTAGAAATGACAGGGACACTTGTACGGCTAGTCAAATCCTATTTTTTAACACCATAATATCAAGGTGGTTTTTTTCAGAATCAGACATGTTAGAGATGGCAGGGACACTTGAATGACTAGTCAAATCTTACCTTATAATACTGTGATATCAAGGTGGTTTTTTACTTTCAGAATCTGACACGTTAGAGATGGCAGGGACACTTGTATGGCTAGTCATATGTTACTTTATAATACCGTGATATCAAGGTGGGTTTTTTTCAGAATCAGACACGTTAGAGATGACAGGGACACTTGTACGGCTAGTCAAATCTTACTTTATAATACCATGATATCAAGGTGGTTTTTTACTTTCAGAATCTGACACGTTAGAGATGGCAGGGACACTTGTATGGCTAGTCATATCTTACTTTATCATATCATAATATATATCAGAGCCTGAGACAAGTGAGTGTTTGTGTGTGCCTGTGCTGGTGGGGATACTGTATAGTTGTTTAAATACAGTAAAACATATCAACCACAACAGCCTTGGAGTGTATGGTCTTCAATTTTTATTAGGTGTTCGTCAACGAGTTTCGCCCTCCTGGGCTTCATCAGGACTAACCTTTAATGTTTTCATGCCCCTAAGGTACTTAAAAATGTCGCTCCCTAAAAAAATAAGTACAATGCTGATTTGGACGTAATACAATTGCGCGTTTAGTTAATCTGTAGTACTATTGATTTCAACTGTTACAAAGTTTGTTTCCTCTCTATGAATATACAAAAGGTATCAGATAACAATCAGATAATATTTCCATCACGTTAACTAGTACTCAATATTCCATCACAGTTATAAAGTGTTCATATTACTCAATATTTGCATAACGGTTCATTAGTTTTTGGCAGTGTCCGAAAGTAAATGTTCATCCAAACATATGACAGACATTGAATCTGATACATAATTGTAATTCCTGTAGTCCAATGTATTTCCAACAACATTCTCGGATGTGTTGGGCATAGATCCTGGTGTTATTGAGGTATCGTCGCTCAAAGCGAGGTCCTCCTTAAGCAGTTCTATCGCCTGATCCATAACTGGTCTTGGTTTCTTCGGTGGTCCCCCGGCGATTAGTTGTCACCCCAGTCTTACCCGGAACGTAGCACGTTCTAATTGATCTCTAGTGAGACCTCCAAATGGTCTCTCAGTTGACGGTGCTACAGCCTGTTCCCTTGTCCTATATTTGATGACTTCTGGTTCTATCTTATACATAGGACGTTCTTTTTTCAGGTGTCTGGTATAATTGCAATTTCTTCCGTAAGATCTTTTGCAAATCTTACACCTGTCCCAGGTTTTGCTTGAAGAGTGGCTAACATTCTTAAGATATTTAATGATGCATTTGACTTCTCGCAAATAATTCATGGAATCCTGGTTTGTATTGAGGGATGTTGTCAGGCGGTGGTTAGTATTGTGTACGTCAGTAGGAACACCCCATCCAACTAGCATGTACGGTGTTGGCTCTACCATCTGAACTCTATAGTTGTTTAGATGCAAGAGGTTTGTGATTGGTGGCACTGTCTGGCAGTACATGGGGCGAGTGTTATGATAGGAAGGAGAGGAGGAGAACTTCAGAAGAGAAATATTTGAAGAGACAGGCTTGGCACTGATATTGTGTCTGAAGTTCAATGTTTTCTGTTTGTGTGTGCAAATGGGTGGTTGGGCTAGAGGGCACTCAGTAGTGGTTTTCCTTAAGTGATCTCGGGGATTGGGTGGTTTGGAGAGGCCATCGGTAGAAGTAAATTTATCAGGAAACATATCAGTGCTCATATGGGTGGGTGAGGGAGTGACCACTTACCTGGATGCTATACATCAGCTGTATTTTAGCCTCGTATCATAAAGGTATACTCACTTCGCTTCTTTCCTGAGTCGCCTTTGACTAAGTTAGCCTCGTTAAGCATAACAAAACCTCCAACAACAGCAGCATCTGATTTTGTGAGTTAAGGTTTCACCCAAGGTCACACCATGGTCATTCCAAGGTCAAACCCATGGATGTTCAACTTGACAGGAAATTCATGATCTGATAAAGTTACATGCACATGCTTTTTCTTACACCAAGAAAAAAAATACAAGAATTTCATTTTTGGATTCAACAATAAATAATCCAAAACAAACAACATTCTAAACTGACCTTGACACAGTATATCTGTGACATTAAACTGATAAAAAGTAGTCCATCATTGGTAACATTGACAGACTTCAAAAAAAACATCCTGTCATTATGTATTTTTTTAGCACCAAATACAAATGAACAGATAAAATAACTGTATGCACCAACAAATTGATCACAAAATGAAGGACATGTCTAGTTTCAGATTACCATCAAACAAAGCATGCAACTTTATACCATATCAGTAAACAAAACATGAAATATTCATCAGCGCAATCACAAAAACCAGTCTCCATATGCATGATCACAAAATGAAAGACATGTCTAGTTTCATATTACCATCAAACAAAGCATGCAACTTTACACCACATCAGTAAACACATCACACATGAAAAATTCATCAGAGCAATCACAAAAGCCAGTCCTCATACCAATGCTTTCTGGTTAATGCATATACAAATTTCCAGGACACTAATTCATTATTTAGGTTAGTATAGGACCAGAAAATGTAAATATTGAAAGTCAAACCAGGGAGTGAGTAGAGGCGTGTGTATGACAGAGGAAGCTTGACAACTCTACAGATACCTACAGATGATGTTATAACACTGTACCAGTAATATACACTATCATCCTACAGATAATGTTATAACACTGTACCAGTAATATACACTATCACCCTACAGATAATGTTATAACACTGTACCAGTAATATACACTATCACCCTACAGATAATGTTACAACACTGTACCAGTAATATACACTATCATCCTACAGATAATGTTACAGCACTGTACCAGTAATATACACTATCACCCTACAGATAATGTTATAACACTGTACCAGTAATATACACTATCACCCTACAGATAATGTTATAACACTTTACCAGTAATATACACTATCATCCTACAGATAATGTTACAGCACTGTACCAGTAATATACACTATCACCCTACAGATAATGTTATAACACTGTACCAGTAATATACACTACCACCCTACAGATAATGTTACAGCACTGTACCAGTAATATACACTATCACCCTACAGATAACTATTGATGACAAAATAAATATGCTTTATTGTCAAGCTTCCTGTCTAACACAGGACAGAAGTGTCCCTTAAAAAAGAAATAACCAAAAGAAAAAATAAGCTGTTTAACACTAAAGATACTGATTCCTAGCAGTATAAGTGACTCCAGTATGGTTTGTTTTAACAGGTCAGGATGGAACTGAAACGGATAAGCAGAATGTAGTGAAACACAGCAACAGAAAACAGTGAAGCAACAAGGAAAGCAACAAAAAATAATTGTAAGATAAACTAAAACAACAACATAGAAATACATGTATTATATATAAGCAAGCAACATGATTAACATACAGATATTAGACACTAACAAATGAATCATACCTCTACAGCACCAGGTGTGTTAATATACAGCACAGAGATATTACTGTTACTAAATAGCACTCAGAGATACATTATTCGTGTATGAAACACTCAAACATTTAGATATTGTTAATATCTTAATGATGAGAAATTATACTTTATACTTGGCTGAAAGAAATACTATTGGTAATAAATGTATGTTAAGATACATTACACTATAACCACTAACGAGCTTTACATTTTCAACTATTGATGATGATGTAGACATTTGAAGTGTTTCTCATTTACTCCCAAACAAAAAAATTGTTATCTCCCGTCAACAACAATTACGGGTAATTTTCTATACACAGTGACATGGTTACAGGTGATAGACACACCTTCACTCTATATAGGTATAACACTGGCTGTAAGGATACTTAATAAAAACACGATGTAGGTCTCAGCAACAAACTGTCCTTGGCTACTACCATGAATGTAGTTCTGGAAATGATAACAAACAAAATGCAAGCACAATCACCACCAAATCACCAGTATAACATTCACCACTTGGTTAGTTTAATTTCTTGTTCTTCCAAATTTTTTTTAAAAAAAAAACATATATATCTTTATCTTTATGTATGTGTGTGTATATATATATAAATACCTAAAAATCTTGTAGACATTCAAAAACCCCTGCTTCAACAGTAAGATATCTTGAAACTGACTGTAAGTGTATGCTAAACTAGAATTGTCACCTGCTTATTTGTAATTATTTAAGAATAAGTAGGTTCATAAAAGTCAAGAAAGAAAGTACTAGTAGCAGCATCAGTACTTCCAAAAAAGACCACATGGTATTCAGAAGTGAGAGAAAGGTCTGAACATCCCCTGTGACAGTGTTCATTTCCTATGTTTGCCAGGAAATCACATGACCAAAAGCGATGTTCTTACCTATACTCAAAAATGGCAACCAACGATGATATTGAAGCAGCGAGGCCGGTTCACAAAGGTAAGACTTCTGTTTAAAAGGGTTCATTTCAGCAAGATATAGAACATTTCTGTGTGTTTTGATGTTTAACTGGTTATCAAACTATCTATACTATCTAAAAACTCAGATAAACAAACAGTAAATATCACCATTTTCAAGAGATTAGTGTCTGTTTATACAAGTATTTAGAAAAAGTAATGAGAGTTGAATAGTCATTTAAACATCAACACATACAAGATACTGTTCTGATAACATTGGCTATGTCTTGGTAATACAGACACTTTTAAGGTGAAACCTTATCTTTGTGATCTGGCCTCACAACTTCATTTTCTTCTTTGGTAACCATTTTGTGTGTTTGTGGAAACATCACTTTCAGTCATGTGTTTCTCTTCCATGATATATGTAATAGAATAGAAGTTCTTATAACATAACCAGCAGAAGATTTGAGTGTGATGTTTCGATGACGACATGGTCACCTTCATCAGTGAAAAAAAAAAGAGATACATGTAAGTTGTGGAAGAATTAGCAATTTAAACAAAACTTTAAAAACCATAGCACTTCTAGAATTCAAATGAGTACTTAATCAATGTACATGTTCTGATAATATATACCCAAAATATAAATCATAGGAGGAGGTAAGCAGAAGTTGAACTTCAAGGAAAAGACCAACAGAGAGACTAACACTTATGATGATATCTTTAGAAGGGATAGGAATAAAATGATAAAAATATTACAATACTGATTTTTTCAAAGAAGTACCTGGGATTTTTTTTTTTCATTCTAGGATTATCAGTAATATATAATTCATTTCAAGAAATCAGTTGATTATCATAAAATTATGTCATTTATTAATCATTATCACAAAATCTAAAATCTATACATATTCTGATACATTCATGTATTTTTCTTAAAATAAACTTAAGCAAAACATTTACCACTTTCTTTAATTCATCCTCAACCATTCAATTAGTTTCCATTACCATGATAAAAAGAGCTGGTAATCCTTGAAGTAACTGTACAATTAATCTGTAGACCAGACTCTTGATATTGAAAGACTGAGACAAATCCTATACTGTATAATTACTGATATGTCTTCTTGATATATCACCACTCTGCTGTAGTACAGGGGGAAAAATATCCAAAAGAAAATACATGACATTTAATAAACTCTGATTATGATTATCCTACAGGTGACAGGATTACACTTCAATGTACTGGAAATTTCACAGAGTTAAAGAATTAGCAATCCATCTACACAGTTTACTTACAAACTCATCAATAAGAAAACCATACCATCTGAAGTTTATATAAAATAAAAATCAGTCCACAATACCATCTACATTCCCTACTGATACAAACTCTTGTGTTGATTTAGGTGACTACAGTACTTTCAAGGATTACCAGCAAGAATGAATTGACTTAAAAGAAAAAAGAAAATAATTAAAATGGTACATACAATCTGTCCAGTGTGTGGGTTTTTGTGCATGACAGGTGGTCCCCTGATGTGGTTCCACATCTGCCCTGATGTCATCGCGAAGATGATACACTGGAAAACAAAGGGATTTTTAACAGCTATTTCTTTATTCATTATGTGATATAGAAAATGACTCTTGAAAAAGAAAGGACAATACAGTGAATTATCTCCCTTAGATTGCCACCAGACCATAACATGTACGGTAAATCTCAGATCAGTTCAGCGTGTAGTTCCAACACAAAAACAAGAGGCCTAGCGACCTTGACGGTCACCTGAGATGCACAATATTGAAAATAAAAGTTAAAAGATAGTTATCAAGTGTCATGAAACAGAAAATGTGACATCGAATATAGTAAGTCAGTGTCAATACATGCATACCATCAAAACTGCCATCCTATACTGGTAATTGTTATAAAGTTATTTCCAGTGGGAAATAACCAACGTTATGTTCAAAAATTCAAATTTTCTATGAAAACTACAGCAAAGTCTGCTTTACACTTACTAGGGCCCCAATCCCCCAAAAGGTTCTGTTGTATAGGAACTCCAGGTTGTTTCTTTTGAGGTACAGTAGTCCACCAATCAGGGATAACAGCAAGGCTAATGCGAGAGTGCCAGAATAGTTTGGAGGTCGGAACACTCGGATCTGTCAACCAAGATAGATAACAACAATATACTATCAGATAAGTTACTTCACTGAACACATCTGTAAGGAAGCAAATTAAATTTTAGTAAATTCAAGCACCTGTTTGCGATTTACACTGAGAAATCCCAACAGATAGGAATTTTTAAAGTCAATCATGTGACTTTTAACTTCAATACTTTAAACCCTCATGGGATTTCTCTGTCTATCACACAAAGATATGGTATTCTTTTCATCTGAACCCAATTCCATATGACTGACATCACTAACATAATTTAAACATCACCATGCAGAAAGTGCCAACTGTAAGAAACTATACCCCAATACTTTTATCAATGGTATAAAGTCATAAACACAGGCCTCACTTTTCAAGACATAATACCTGATATGCTATATCTTATTAAACAAGGTATTACATCTATCTAAAAGTCTGATGAACAAGTCTGTATATCAAGTTAGCAAGTCAAAACACAATTTTATGCATGGTTTCTCAAATAATTTAAATAAAATGAAACAAGAAAACAAACTCTTTTATGTCCAGGTAAGTTAGACATGCCTCTCTGGTAGACTTTCCTAGCCCTACAGCACTAAGTATGATCTCCTGCAACAAAAGTATTAATAATGATCTGTCAAATTCTGACATGGTCAAGGTGAAAGATGAACCTACAATACCTGGATGTCTGTTCTTTCTCCAACCCACTTTGCAATCTGCTCAGCTGCAAATCCAACCCTAGATATTGGAGAAATATGTATTCATATTATTGAACAGGCGAGGAAAAATGATTTAATTTATGATAATTTTTTTTTTCACATGAATTAGGTAAATTAGATTACATAGAGAATACTGTAATTTAAAACTTTATTGCACAACATCTGAAAAAGCAGAAAGAGATATGTGGATATATATATTTAAAATAAAAGGATGGTTTACATATTTATGTTCAATTTCATTATTCAGTAATATGTAGTACTCCACTAAAAAAGAATAAAGCATGCATAAGCTACATTGTCATTAAAGTGAACACAACAAGAGACAGTTGGAAGTTGAAATTAAAGACCAGGAAGTAGCTAGAAATCAAATAATTTAACCAAAACATATAGCAACAACTCCATATCTATTCCTTACCTGTCTAGTTAGCACATCAATTCTATTAGTGTATTGTATACACAAATCACATCAGGTTTTTGTTACAGGTATCAAGATACGAAAATTAAACCATATGTGTTAGATCCTCGTGTGACCAAGAATACTGGACAATGTATTCTAATGTCCAGTGTCAGGGTAGTTAATCCACCCTAGGCAATGGTCAAGCAGTCCAGTTCTGACTGGAGGTGATTGATGGACATGTCACAATGTATCACCATAGATCTCATACAGAGTGAACTGGGTACTTGTGTGAAAGGTAAGCATATTTGTTTTTTTATCACTTTAACACATTACATTGATACTTGTCATTTTTAACTTAGAAGACATGTACAAGCTGACTGTTCATTCTCTTACACACATTTGAAACATCCTATAAAATTCAGATTACAATAAACAGATTTGTAATCACCACAAATTTTATCACCTCATTTACTTTATCAGATCTAACATTTTTTCAGTACCTTTGGTTTTTTAACAAAATTCCTAATAAAAATTTCAGAAACTGTTTTATAGATCTGCTCACATTAACAATCTAGAGCAGAAATATTTCAAATAGTGTTTGTGCTAAAGGTCTAAAATCAAGAAGAAATAGACAAAAAGTACAACTTGGAATTTCTAAGTGTCGTCTTCTCTGGCAAAGGATGTCAAATATTTGCCCTAAAAAACCATAACAGTAGTACCTGTGGATGTCCATGGTGTCACTTTTCTTTGGTTTACCCTTGGCTGGGAAATGCATGAAGACTGGAGCAGTATTCAGCTTCAGCTACAAAATCAATTTAGTAAATTCTGTATCACAAATATTTGTCAGGATTATTTTAGCTGGTTTTTCAGTTTTTTGAAGTGGTTTAACTAGTGACCCATCCTTAAAACCCATGGCTTCAATCCTGTTTACGATGTCTATACTCGTGAAATACATTGAAGACAAAACTAAAGGCTATGTATTTCTTGTTGATGATAAGATTTAACTCTTCATTTGATAGTCATTATTACCAGTGATATAGTCATTTCATACAAGATGTAAGTGACTGCACAACATAATGGTTGGTTTTAATTATTGAAATGGTCACTATGACCTTCCAAATTGACCATAACAAATAAAGAGTATGAAAACCTTAGGATTTGAAGATTCTTCCTTTCCAATTCAACCAACACAGTCATATCTGTGTGGAGATCGTTGCCTCAGGCTTCAGATCTGTGATCACTGGTATTCTGGATTTACTCAATTACAGAGCTATAAGGAACTGTTAATTTCCAATATATATGTTTATATAAAATTATATTTCCCAATTTTGTTTATGTTGTTGGTTGGATCATATAATTAATCCATATTTATTTTGATATCAACACTCTACAGTCTACCACGTAATGATATCTTACAATTCTGAAAAAGATGATGTATTTCCTTAACAAGGTGTGTGTAACAATTGAATGCCTGAGGTAATTCATCACACCAGGAAGTGGTGTGGTCCAACTGTACCCTCAGGTATAACACATGTATATAGTCCACAGGCTCAACTGATGAATATCATGTACTTACAAAGAATCAATACTTTAAAAGTTTACATAGACTTTTTGTCGTGGTATCCCCTTAAAAATTTCTTTTAGGGTTTTCTATAAGAAACAAGAACTTTTTTTTTCTTTGAAGAAAATAATTGATGTTGATATCATGTCATTCTCCTCTTTTCAAAAGATAAATAGGTACCAGTATAAGTGATAGATTTAATGATAATATTGGTGCCTGTAGGACAGCAGAAAGGAAATCTAAAAAGTCTACTAATACCATTTATTTAGTGCAGGATATTTTTATTACTAGAAATATTTTATTTCAATTTATTTTAAATATTTCCTTTTGCAAAATGTAAAACTTTGATGGAGTATTTTCGATGGTGAACCAAACACAAGCAAGACTCAATCTAGGTGAATATCACTGTATTTCTTTTTAACATGATGTATTGGGTAGTAAAATTTTGCTTATGTTTTCAAGATAAATATCTGGAATAACATTAGGTGTCATCACAAGTAAAACATGATTTTGAAAAAAAATTCACAGAGAGAGGCAACTTACACTGGCAAAAACATCAGCTCCTTCATCGTAATCAACCATGGTGAAGAAAAGACGATTAGAGTACTGTTGTGAGTAGCGCCATGAGTTTGCTAAAATAGTAAACTCATCATTGGCTTGTCTACAAAACAAAGAAATATGTGATAGTAGAAAGTTATTTACAATGATACATATGAGGACTAAGTATCTGTAGATCCTAAATCAGATAACAACGAAAGTCCATTCATTGGCCAATTCTGGGGATTAATCCTAAATAGGACAATGGTGTCCTCTGTGTCATAATAACAAAGAGGACATCAATAAGGACTATCAACATTCAATCATGATCCTATGAACTCAGTTGACGAATTCATGTTTTCACTCCTTGGGTCAATCATCGAATATAAATAAATAATCAACTCAAAATGTTCAGCCATTTAATAAGGGAACATGTATTTTGATTGCTCATTGAATTCATTCAAAACTATCTCGAAAATATATAGATATTCAAATTATAAGTTTACACAAAACGTTTTGGTCAATTGAACCCATTATGAATTAGTAGCACTCACCTGCACACAGAGCATTGTCGCTGAGCCTGTAGAGCTGTCAGCATCACAATCACGGAGTAGTTCTTCGGGGCAGCTTTCACATATTGCTTGAACTTCTCGCCATTAAGACGTATGATAGACTTCTTGTTGTTCCAGTCACTCAGCTGCTGCACCTTCTCACCGACTGTGTCCACCTAGAATTGAAGAGTTGAAGAGTTCAATAAAAACGTCATACACCGCATGCTGTTAGAACTCATCCGAAAATCACAGAATACACTTCATTTTTACCAATATAACTGATCCAATACCATTTCAATATCACCATACTGGAGACAGTTATAAGGTGTTACATATTGTGAGAGTAGTATACTCGGAGCACACCAACAATTAACCCACATCACTATCCTACCCTACAAAATATACAATGTACCTGACCAGAGACACCCATTCTAAACCACGATCATAATTCCTACCAACCACACACAATCAAAGACACCCATCCCACACCAATATCATACCCTACCAACCAACCACAACCAAAGACACTCATCCAACACCAATATCATACACTACCAACCAACCACAAACAAAGACACTCATCCAACACCAATATCATACACTACCAACTACACACAACCAAAGACACCCATCCCACACCAATATCATACCCTACCAACTACACACAACCAAAGACACTCATCCAACACCAATATCATACCCTACCAACTACACACAACCAAAGACACCCATCCCACACCAATATCATACCCTACCAACCAAACACAACCAAAGACACTCATCCAACACCAATATCATACACTACCAACCAACCACAACCAAAGACACTCATCCAACACCAATATCATACACTACCAACTACACACAACCAAAGACACCCATCCCACACCAATATCATACCCTACCAACTACACACAACCAAAGACACTCATCCAACAACAATATCATACCCTACCAACTCCACACAACCAAAGACACCCATCCCACAACAATATCATACCCTACCAACCAAACACAACCAAAGACACCCATCCCACAACAATATCATACCCTCCCAACCACACACAACCAAAGACACTCATCCAACAATATCATACCCTACCAACTCCACACAACCAAAGACACCCATCCCACAACAATATCATACCCTACCAACTACACACGACCAAAGACACCCATCCAACACCAATATCATACCCTACCAACTACACACGACCAAAGACACCCATCCCACAACAATATCATACCCTACCAACTACACACAAACCAATCCAACACATATACCATCCCATCCCACAACAATATCATACCCTACCAACCAACACACAACCAAAGACACCCATCCAACCACAACAATATCCAACACCATATCATACACTACCAACTACACCATACCCTACCAACTACACACAACCAAAGACACCCATCCAACACCAATATCATACCCTACCAACTACACACGACCAAAGACACCCATCCCACAACAATATCATACCCTACCAACCACACACAACCAAAGACACTGATCCAACAACAATATCATACCCTACCAACTCCACACAACCAAAGACACCCATCCAACAACAATATCATACCCTACCAACTACACACGACCAAAGACACCCATCCCAGAACAATATCATACCCTCCCAACCACACACGACCAAAGACACCCATCCAACAACAATATCATACCCTCCCAACCACACACAACCAGAGACACCATTTCACACCAATATCATACCCTACCAACCACACACAACCAAAGACACCCATCCCACAACAATATCATACCCTCCCAACCACACACTACCAGAGACACCCATTTCACACCACTATTCTACCCTACAAACCTTACTGAACCTGAGACACAAGAGATTACACACTCACAAGGTTTGATTCCACAAATGGACATTAAAAAATAGGAGGTTACCTGCCCAACCATTCAGGGTTTCCCTGGTTCTCTGGTTTCACACCACTATTAGTTAAAATAGCTTGTTTCACAATTGTTGTCAAGGTAATCACGTTTATATAGACACTGAGCTGCACAGAATCCCTGCCCCTCCAGAGGCAGACAGACAATCTGTACTAAGATACCCAGAACCCTCATCCCTGCAAAAGCAGAGAGCCACACTGTACTGAGCTACACAGAGCCCCCAATCTTCCAGAGACAGATAATCAGTCTGTACTACGTTACACAAAACTTACACCCTCCAGTGACAATATAGTCATTCAGTTCTGATCTATATGGATTTCCCACCCCTCCAGAGGTAGACAGCCACTCTGTACAAAGCTGTACAGAACTCTTCACTTTCCGAAGGCAGTAACATGTGAGTCTCCAAGAACCCCTACCCTCTTGAAGCAGACAGCCATAACACTGAGCTAAACAGCACCCCCAACTCTCCAGAGGCAGACAACCACTCTGTTCTAATCTACCCAGAAGCCCTACCCTCAGGAGACAGACAGTCACTCTGCGCGGAGCTACACAAACCCCAACCCTTCAGAGGCAGAGACATTCTGTACCATTCTACACAGAACCCCCATTCCTCCAGAGGCAGACAGACACTCATACTGTGCAACACACAACTCCCTATCCTCTTGAGGTAGAATTGAGACATCTACTTTATTCTGAACTCAAGGCACTCTGGACTGAACTAATAGAACCTCCAACCCTCAAGAGGCAGAAAGTCACTCTTTACTGATCTAACCAGAGCTACTCTATACTTGTGCAACACACAACCCCCAACTTTTGTACTCAGGGCACCCAATGTCCTGAGACAGGCAGACAGCCACTCAATGCTCTCTCTGGACTGAACTACACAGAACCTCCAACCCTTCAGAGGCAGAAAGTCATTCTTTACTGATCTAATCAGAGCCCCTACTCTCAATCATCCATAGGTAGAATCGAGACAGCCACTTTGTTCTGAACTACACAGGACCCCCAATGTCTTGAGACAGGCAGCCACTCAAGGCACCCAGGACTGAACTACACAGAACCCCATATCCTCCAGAGGCAGACTGTTAATCTAAGCATTCTTTACTAAACTCCACAGAATCAATGACCAGCTCCCATACCCAAGTTGTCCACTGAGAGATAGCTGCTCTCAGCTATACACCATATCAGGACAGATAAGGAAATTAATGGGCATCAGTAAAAGTTACTTTTATTTTACAAAAGTACACATCTAAATTCATCATAAGGATATATATTTATATGGCTATACACATATGTTGTTGAATACATTAATGCTTTGTTTGAAACAATACATAATATAAACAAACTTATGTGGCACAGTTTTTGAGCAGTACATTTCAAACTTCAATTCATGATTTGAGTTATAAGATTTCACAAATCTATTTTATCTTTACACCTCTTGTACCAGAAAGAAGATTATACATAGGGTATAAGCCTGGCCTGTGTTAAATTGCTCTAAGTCCTTACATAACACACAGCTAGTTTCCTGTTTCAAGGGAAATAGACCAGGAAACTGAAATTCTGTAATAACCCATAAATATACAATTTAAAAAAGTTGACCATTTTAAAAACGAGGTACCAATATTTATATATATGATACTTCATTTTATTTATTCTCAAAATCAATCATTAACGGGATGGATCATTATTTTCAAGGATATTTTCTACCTTTAGGATTGAACGATTTCCTTTATTTCCATTAAAACTTCCTGTTATGAATACAGAAGTGCATGTGCATAACCTTTGTTGTAGCTGGGGAGCACATATCTAATCCCCATTGAGTTGTTGTATGAGGTACTAACAGTGCTGCTATATACCTAACACACCTTTCCAATTAAATCTATCTTTATACCTCTACACTCTCTAGCTTTCATTGTAATTAGTATGGCCATTTCCACACTCCTAGGGAAATAATACAATTGTGCTGTTGTGGTATTGTAATCAGATGGGTCTTCTTCTGTAACAGGAGAGATCATTAAATATCTTCAGCAGGATTGACTACATACCAAAGAGTCACTTTCTCTGTAGGGAGGGATTTACCCGTGAGCTAGAATATACAGAGACTGACGAGAAACCTAAGTCTCATCAAACTGCCTCCACATCACCTTGGTGTTTCACAAAGGAGACACAGGAGAAACACTTTCTCAAGCTCAAAACTCATCACAGACATTCAGTGTCCCTTGGAAATCACAAAAGATATACTAGTTTCGAATGAATTATCAGCAGGTGTAAAATTGAGAATGTATACTCCAGTGTAAATTTTATGTAAATCGTACATGATTTAAATTTCATTCAAATAACCATATGACACCAAGTTATTTAAATATCTAGTAACCAATACAGTTGGAGTGCAGATTTTATAAGAACTTTTCCATCCAAATCAGCTACAGGGAGAAAAGGTATACTGAGGTACGTACAGCCTGCTATTTCTGTAATACATATTGCATGCATGCACTTTGTAAATGTTTAAAAAGGCATCAAACTACCTATATAAAGTAAGCTAATTTCAGCATATGAGTGGTAAATGCTGAACATGTAACTGTAAATAAGATTGCACTTGGAATGCTTGTTTTTAGTAAGGAAACATCAAAAATTTATCCCTGGTACATGTATTAATGTTTACAATATATCAAACACTTAAAGTAGGAAACCTCATTCACATAATGGCTTTGCTTCTTTACTTCTCTTCAAACATCAATACCACAACACTGGAAAACTTTGTTTGTTTCATCAATATTTTCTTATGTTTTCAATTATTATTTTCAGTAATAGTAACATATAATATCAACAGTGAACACTCAGAACATCTTAGACGTTTCAGTCTGCAAACATTGATCAGTCCATGTTTTAAGGAGAGATATCTACAAAACTGACTTAGTATTATGTAGGTATATATAGTAAACAAACACTGATCTGACTCAGTATTATGTAGGGATATATAGTAAACAAACATTGATCTGACTCAGTATTATGTAGGGATATGTAGTAAAAACAAACATTGATCTGACTCAGTATTATGTAGGGATATGTAGTAAACAAACATTGATCTGACTCAGTATTATGTAGGGTTATGTAGTAAACAAACATTGATCTGACTCAGTATTATGTAGGGATATGAAGTAAACAAACATTGATCTGACTCAGTATTATGTAGGGATATGTAGTAAAAACAAACATTGATCTGACTCAGTATTATGTAGG